ACCCAAAGTATTTCAGGATCCTCGCCGGTGCAACAGGGCTCCTGCACTGCGCTGAGATTTTTTGGGCTTGAGTTAGAAGTAGAACGGAGCACTTATTGGTTACACCCGTGTGCCGTGACACTGATTCGTCGAATAAACATAAACATGAGTATGGTGGACGGAGTCCAGCAGAGCTACGACTATTCTTCGACTTTTACCTCATCGAAGTCTCGGCGGGAGATGTAATGTTCGTTGATGAGCTCTGTCAAGAGCACTATTAAGACTGATGTTCATTTCTGTAAGGCTGTTCTTAATGTCATCACTCCATATTTTCCGAGGTCTTCCACTCGCTCTATACCCGTTGTAACGTTTTAGTGTGGTTCGCTGTGGCAGATAGTACCAAGGCATTCTTGTTAGGTGTCCAAACCACTTCATTTGTTGTTCTTTGATGACCTGTAAGACTGGCTTTAACCATAAAAGAGCAAAATTCGTCGCAGAAGTCTTTCAGTTTATTTTGTGCACCATCTTAACTCCTACTGTATCAAGGGATATACCTCTAAAAGCGGAATTATTTTTCTTTCGCATTTCTCCATGTCGAGCTTCTTAATAATAAGTGTGGTTGTGTTAAATTTGTCCTGCTATCTGCCAAAGTCCGGGCATCATTCTTTTCAACATTTCTCTTCAGCCAGATAAACCCCCAGGAAACAACGGACAAATAAGTATGATGATAGTAAGTCAGATAATCAGCATGCTTGATGCCGCCTCGCTAGCATCCTCAGCCAGGGTATCCACTTGGAGATAAATATAGTCCGGGTCCTAAGTACATGATTGGGTTGTAATGTTTATGAGGGCGCCCACGGGGAAATATATGACTGGTTTATCCTTTACAGCAGCTGTTCTCCGCCTGTGGATCGCGACCCTTTTTGGGCAAGGGAGGGGGTGGTCGATCGACCCTTTCGCATGGGTCGCTTAAGACCAAGGGAAATCACATACTTGCTGACGTTATGGAGAAGCAACGAAATTATTTGATGTTTGGGGGTCATCAACACAACATGAGCAACTGTATCAAAGGGTCGCCGCAATAGGAAGGTTGAGAACCATTGCCTTACAGCTGCTTTCATTGCGATTCTTCTTGTTTTATTGGAGGAAAGACAGTTCACCCACACTCGACAGCGGATTATTTCCCCGCCGTAGGGTGCCATAACGTAGCTCTGTTATACGGGTGAGTAGGATTGTAGGATTTTTTGGATTTACTCCTCTTGAATTCAAACTCTAATAGTGGCACTTTCGGTCACTGGGTATCAATCAGTATTTCATACTTTAATTCCGAGGCAAAAAATATTTCAATTAAAGATGAAAATTTTTAAAAAATTAAAAAAAAACAAAATATGCTGCGCGTGTGCCCGTTTAGTTACCTGTTTACTTAACTTTAAGCCAGTTGGATTTTCTTGAATGACTGCACGCACCGCTCACAACATCCTTGTCTGAACACCCGGATCTGATTGAATACTGCTCCTTTCACCTCCAGATGCACGCCTTTCAGCCGCAGATAGAATCTTTCATTATTTCAGCGCTCCCGCATCTTGCAGGCTTTGTGATGCACTTCCCGCGGACGTATCAGCTTGGCTTTAGGAATGTAAGATTTCAAAACTTGTAACGTGAAGCCAGTATGCAATCTCTCGTTTGGTAATTAGTATTTAATTGTTGGGGCTTCTGTGATGTGAGATGGTTTATGGCTTGTCGAGCATGAATGTTTACCATCTCTGGGTGGAATGAATTACATGAAACTACCTGTACACCTCTTCTCGGTTATAGAGCTTTTTCTGTTTTTTGGCAAAGGAATGATGCAGAAATTTACTGAATGTTTTTTCTTCTTCGTCGTTTGACAGGGCGATTACCAGATGTTTATACTTATTTGCTTAAGGGTTGTGTCTGGCCTAGGGATTGAAGTTGTCATTGTTGTGAACCTTGGATATTCATTTCGGGATAATTTAAGAGTTTGAGTTACGGTTGCCGGTTTGTGTTATATGTTTTTCAAACTGCTAATTAAACGCTAGTCTGCGGATCCGAAGGTTATGGGTTCGAGTCTGAACGGAACCGGACTCCCCCCCCCCCCACCCCCCGCCCCCCACACATGACCTTGTCTGCCAGGTCGACCCGACCTTGAGTATGTACTAGGTGAAGTTATTGGAAGTAAAGGCGTGAAGCTGACCATATAACCCACAGAGCGTTGATTGATCTGTAATATATAGGCCTAGCCCTATATTCCAGTACGCCTGATGGCCTGGGAAAGGGTCCTTCACATTAATTAAACAGTAAATAAAAAATTAGACTTTTCCCACGTTATTTGGGCATCTGGCATATAGCGGTGGACTAATGTTTTATTGACCAGTCGGTGATCGCAGTGTGATATAGTCAGTGTCAAGCCAGCAGTCTTTACTTCCCATTACATTTCCATGTGACCTGTTTTAGGTTTTATTGATCTCGGGAGTCATTGACTTTTGAAAAATTTACCTCAATGCGGATTCAAACCTAATACTGTTGGACCAGCATTTAAATGTCTAGCCTGCGCTACCGTGTTTCCCATAGTGGCATAGTACGTGGTGACAACAAGAACTAGGAAAGCAAACAGTGTATATTAGACTTTTTTTTTTTAAACAGCAAAACATATAGGGGGAAGCGGGAGGAAGACCAGGCAAGAAATGGATAAATGGTGTAGCCAAAACCTGCAAAATGATGACCAAATTCATCAGCCAAGCTATACGAGAAACGCAAGACAAATTTAAAAACCTGCAATTAGTGAGAAGACAAAAGAAGACCAACATGATGCATGCTGGATAGTTGGGCATCACTTTATACTCCTTTCCTTATATCGCCACTAACCCCTTCGTGTAATCAGGTTTGCTGACTCCACAAAAAAACACACACACACACACACACACAGAGCCAAACCCTTGATTTCTTTATGTTGGCCAACAGTAGATTCTTCTCAAAGCCACAAGGCCTGGCCAGCTTTTGCATTGTGCCTTTTGTTTTTTAACTTGTGCTTGATTGACTGTTGACAGCTGCTTCCTGATGCCCTTATCTCTAGACTCCCTTCTTTCATGAGGACTATTGTCTCGTCCACAGGTGACCGTCCGGATTGAAGATGACAATGACAACGCGCCTGTCTTCTCCAGCTCTTTGTTTGACGCCAGCGTTCCGGAAAACGTCACCCCCGGTTCATCAGTGGCGTCGATACATGTGTCAGATCCGGACACGTCGGGAAAAGTGGTTTTGTCGCTTAGTGGGCCTGGGTCAGAGATGTTCAGGATTGAACAGAATGGTAGGTTAACTGAAAACCTATCTATCTGTCTGTCTATCTATCTATCTATCTATCTATCTATCTATCTATCTATCTATCTATCTATCTATCTATCTATCTATCTATCTATCTATCTATCTATCTATCTATCTATCTATCTATCTATCTATCTATCTATCTATCTATCTATCTATCTATCTATCTATCTATCTATCTGTCTGTCTGTCTGTCTGTCTGTCTGTCTGTCTGTCTGTCTGTCTGTCTGTCTGTCTGTCTGTCTGTCTGTCTGTCTGTCTGTCTGTCTGTCTGTCTGTCTGTCTGTCTGTCTGTCTGTCTGTCTGTCTGTCTGTCTGTCTGTCTGTCTGTCTGTCTGTCTGTCTGTCTGTCTGTCTGTCTGTCTGTCTGTCTGTCTGTCTGTCTGTCTGTCTGTCTGTCTGTCTGTCTGTCTGTCTGTCTGTCTGTCTGTCTGTCTGTCTGTCTGTCTGTCTGTCTGTCTGTCTGTCTGTCTGTCTGTCTGTCTGTCTGTCTGTCTGTCTGTCTGTCTGTCTGTCTGTCTGTCTGTCTGTCAATCTATGTATCTGTCTGTCTGTCTGTCTGTCTGTCTGTCTGTCTGTCTGTCTGTCTGTCTGTCTGTCTGTCTGTCTGTCTGTCTGTCTGTCTGTCTGTCTGTCTGTCTGTCTTCCCATCAGTCTATTTAAGTTGCTGTCGTAATGTTTTTGCCAAAATGAAACGTGTGAACCAGACAAGAAAGTGCAGTCTAGAGTAGAATAGAACGGGCGGGAATGAATGCAGATAGTCTGCGAGCTGAGCGTCTGAAAAGAAGCACACTAGATACATTCGCTGGCAACAGTGGGCCTGAAATACGATGCTGTGGGGAAAAGGGGGGGGGGGTAGAAGAAGTTCCTTAACGCCAGCGGGTCTTGCTGGACACACTCGCCGTCGCCATGGTCTGTGACTCCCTTGCCTTCCTGTAACACTGTCATCTGGACGACGGAAAGATGTCAGGCATGGCTGCCAATGTGATTTTTTTGAAAAACCTAGCTAAGCTGAACAAAAACCCAAGCAATACAAAGGCAAAAAACAAAAACGAAAATTAAAAAAAAAAAAAACAATGTTAAAAAGTACACATTTTATATTTACGAAACGAAACAGTTACCCACTGTTATAAAAGGATATAATTTTTTTTAAACCCCAGATTTCCAAATATTGAATCCAGTGCGTCAAATAAAAACCTAGATCTGGTGGTACAAACCCATCATTGGCAGCCCTGGTGCCAGGCAGGGTTGCTTCCGCAGCCATACCCTTTAGAATAAACCCAGGCAGCACTTACAGATCTGATTATGATCTACATTCAGGTCTGGTTATATAGAATTGTATCGCGCCCTATGTGGCTTCTGGTCCGACCTTGTTTCAAAAGAGAGCATCAGAAAATTTTATGGAAAGTAAGTACTTACCCGCAAAAGACTAGATTTATATTTCACTGAGATGAGGTCGCGGTTAGCAATACTCCGATTATATCTCTTTTGGAGATAGAACGAGGTATATAAGATTCTCTCTGTTGGTTCATCATCCAGGATGTGAATACTGTAGTCCAGGGGGTGATTCAAATGTCAGGTAGCAGCCGTAAAAAAAAAGGGGGGGGGGAGAGGAGGAGCAACAACAGACAGGTGAAATAACACAGTGTACTTTTATCTCCGCAGGCACCTTGTACACTAAGATGAACTTGGACTATGAAGTCAAGACCTTTCACAATTTCACCATTGAGGCCACAGATGGGGTCAACAGGTCAAGTGCCCTGGTGTATATTCGGGTCGTCGACGAGAACGACCATTCTCCTATCTTCTCCCAGTCCTTCTACTCCTTTGATGTTGTGGAGAATGCCGAGATTGGGTACACTATCGGCACCGTGCCCGCTCGCGATGCTGACTCGGGAAACAATGGTCGTGTGATCTATGAGTATGTGTCCGAGTGGGGACAAGAGTATTTTTCTTTGGACGCTCATAGGGGTACCTTTGTCCTCAAGAAACAGCTGGATTTTGAAGAGGTAAGGGTTTGAACTAACAGTTGAACGCTATTGAACCTTTGTAGTTATCATGTTATGTGGTTTTGGTAATTATTTGCGTACACGGTAGGTTTCTTTTTAAGGGGAGGGGGGGGGGGCGTCTTATGTACAGTCAATCATGTTTTCCCGTGTGGGCTCTGGAGCCCTAATTCGGGGAAAACAAGAATAGAACCACTGCATACCTAAAGCATGTCATAAGAGACGACTAATTAGGAGCTTTCTTCGAAGTCAGATTGCATCTGCCAAAGTGGCAAGGAACCAGCAGTCTGCATACAATGTCTGTAAAACGGATGCATACGCAACACTCGGGTTCTGGAACAGGACTGCAGTTCAGAGTGGATGAACAACCAGAACTTTGCGCCAGAGTTTACAGCTGGTGAACGTGAAGTAGAAGTCAGTCATGTTCTAATACAGATGGGTTTTTTTTTTTTTTTTGCATACATAGAAACCAAGCTGTTCAGCATCTTCTTCTCGAACACCGGTCATCCACGTGAAGGGCGGAATACTTACAACTCTACTACCGAAGACTGAAGACTTTAGGTCAGATATCGCAGCCTAGCTGTAAACCACAACACAGCGTGTCAACCGCCCTCTCAAGGGTGAACGAATATTACCTGTGACATGAACATTGAGCATCACGTCGCCGCTATCGCAGGCTAGCTGTAAACCCCAAAATCTAACGGAAAAAAGCGTCGATGTTGCAGCCTAGCTATAAACCACACAAAAACGTGCAGCCACCCAGTTAGGGGTAAAAAAAATCATATCACCCAGCGGGGAATCGAGTTCCTATCACCCGTATAAAAGGTGAAATGCTTACAACTAACTACGCTACTAAATACTCAAGCATTAGTAGAAATGAAAGTATATAATAATAATGTGAAGTTCGGTGTTACACAGTCAAAGGTGGCCAATCGACTAAAAACAAATCCGGGCCGGCAACGAAATAACTAATGAAATGATCGTTGCTGTAGCTTTGTCGTTCGTGGTTTGTGCAAAACTCATACAAACACGCTTGGATTCTAAGGCTACGTTGTGTAAAAATTTGAAAGCGATCGGTAAAGAAATGTCGGAGATTGATCCTAGGGGAAAAGGCATATATTGGCAGCCCTGCTCAGCAGTCGAAGGCGGCCAATCAACTAAAAACAAACCCGGGCTGGCAACGAAACAAATAATGATTTGACCGTTGCTGGAGCTACGTCGTTCGTGGTTTGTGCGATTTTATGACAAAAAATCACGCTTTGAATCAGAGGCAACGTTGTGTAAAAATTTGAAAGCAATCGGTTCGGTAGTTTCCAAGTTTAGAGTTAACAAACTCGGAAAATTAAAATTTTTATTAATATAGATTACCAGTGGTTTCGCAGATATTTATCTGACCTTTTCACCCCTTCTTGAATTCATCCTATTTTATCTTCATCATTTCCCCGGGGCATTGATTTGAAATGCACTTATCTTTCGTTCCATATGTGTAATAGTTCTCCAACTTTCACTGGCAAATATTTAACTTGAAATTGGTGCTAGGCAGTGTCCTAGGACTATCGCCTACACACACACTCACGCACACACGCACACACACATACACATACTCACACATGTAAAACAAAGATCTTTTGTGTTCATAAGTTGTTTTTTTTTTTTTTTAATAACAGTTGATTCATGACAATTCTCTTCCTGATTATCTGATTATTTACACAAAGGGTTCTCTATTGAGAGGAAAGAGAAGTAGCCAAAGCCGATGGAAAATTTTTAGTGCAGGACAGCCTGACCAGAACCGGCTCCATCTGGAGCCGGTCGTGGCCTGGCATATGATACCACGACTTCTGACATGAGAATGGAGGTGAAGGCGGTCACTAAAGCTTGCAAGATACATTCACATGCCGTAATTGTTAGGGACTGTGAAGGCATGCTGAAGAAGGTGAAGATAGAATTGCTAGGAGCAGAGCGGCAAGCTTCACTTGCAAGATCACAGGTAGTGAGCATAGTTTGGATCTTTTCTCCAGTTGATGCCGGCGTGGTGGGTAATGAACAGGCTGACAGGCTGGCTAGATCTGCACCGCTGGGTGGTGAATTGAGGGATGACAAAGCAGATGTGGTCAACGCCCTTTGGGAACAAGTAACGAAGTCAGAAGAGAAACTAGATTATTATTGGCTGGAAAAAATTATGCACCTGAGTGTTACCAGAGGGTTCAGCCAGCAGACTACGCTCAGAGGAAAGGCAAGCCGGACATATAACCAGACTACGACTGGAACTATTAGTATTGGAACTTTGAGCTGGCTGCTGATGATGGGGATGGAGCGCGTATTTGAATGCCCGAGTGCTGTGATGTCAATTCTTAACTAAACTTCACTCAGCTTTTATTTAGATCACAAGTAATAAGTAAAGGAAAGTATGTTATTCTCCTGAGACGCTTCGGGCATATGATGCTAAACGTATAATTGTATAGACCTATCGGCGATCGATTACTCCCCAGCGCATTTACCTGGTGCCCAATTTAGACCAAGGAGCCAAAGAGTATTATCTTTTCCCAATCAGTTGGCTCCAGGTTTAAACGTCAAATACCGTTCAGACGGGTCTAGTCTCTCTGCTGCCTCGACTTCCCAAGATAACATTATCCTTTTCCAATGTGGGTTCTTGGGCCGCATTTGAAGAGAGAGAGATTTAAAAAAAAAAGGGGGGGGGGGGAGGGTGTTGTTGTTGAAAACGACCCCTAGTAAAAAATGTATATTAGCCCTCAGACAGTGAGCTGTTTGTTATTTTCACTCTGTTACTTTCTTGTGTGGGTTCCTGGGTTCCAGTACTTGATTTTTGGAGAGAGAGAGAGAGAGAGAAAAAAAACACACACTCTCCCCTTCTCCCCCACCTCACCTAATATGTCGTAAAACACCACTAAATAGGAAGTGACTGGAATCGGATGTGTAAGGCCCAAAGGAGCATCCATGGCTACCTAGCTATATACGAGATCAAGCCATTCGCACTCTAAAGGGGCGAACGCAAAAGACGAACTCTCAGGCAACAAAAACGCACACGTTAACAGCTGTGATGTATGCTCTCATCATACGATATTCGTAACTAATAGCAACAAATAACAAATAAAAAATGACCTTGATGATTAAAATGGCAGCACAGATCTTCACGCTGATCCCGTGTCCATGGAAACCGATAGCGCGGCGATATCAGGCTATTTGTTATTCATGATTGCTGACGCGGAGACTTGTATCACGTGACAGCTAAATGTCTATTTCAGAACACGAACATCCCCCCAAAGGGTTCATCCCCGACCGGGTCGCCAATTGGCTGGCCAGTAGACGACTTCGTCGTCGGTCGGGACAGTATTTGGGTCCGTCTCCTACGATCTCATCAACACTGCAAGAGTCCTTTTCAGGGCTTCCTAATAGCGAGCAGTGTTTCCTAATAGCGAGCAGTGTTGAGCCATTTTAAATGGCGCACATAAACCTAGTCATAATTATAACCTAAAGCTCCCCTTTAGTGTATGCTGGTTGAACCTGACGATTTTTGTTGTTGCTCAAAATCAGATCCGATCGGAACCCAAGGGACTGCTGGTTACACTGATATGTTGAGGCCGTCACATGTGCCCTGGTTATAACTTTTTAAGGAGCTTGAACAGGGCATCTGTGATCTAACTTGTTGTCTTGTCGTCCAGGTTAAGATGTTTAAAATCTCAGGAAGGTATGGTAAACCTTTAGGTAGCAACATGGAGAGGACACACGAATCGAACAGTACATCCTGACTGGCACAGAACCGCAGGTGACATCTTGTTGGTATAACCCTCACAAGTGCTGTAATATCTTTTTTGGAGGATTAATGGGTCATCTTAGCCTGCTCTGTTGGTCGGCCACCAGCACTTGGGATCTTTTTAGTCTCACCATGTGAAACTTTCAGACCCTGTTGGCCTGCCATTCAGATTGAGATCTTCTGGTCTCGTGGTGTCAGATCTTTAGCTCCATTTAGCCTGCCATTCAAATTGTGATATGGTCTCATGGTGTCAGATCTTCAGGTCTTGTTGGTCTGCCATTCAGATTGAGATCTTCTGGTCTCAGGGTGTCAAACCTGCAGGTCCTTTTAGTCTGCATTTCCGATTGAGATCTTCTAATCTCATAGTATCAAACCTTCAGGTTCTGTCGATCGACCATTCTAACTGGGATCTTCTGGTCTCAGAGTATCAAACTGTTCAGATAACCGGCTGGAAGGGATAAACAACATGCACACTCAGGAGGGCATGTTACAACAGGCTGGTGTAACATTCACAGTTGCCCTCGTCATATCTACTTTGGAGGTAATAGACCGACTGCCCCCTAACAATCGTGTCGTAAAAGGCGACTAATTTTGGATAGCCTTGGAAGGGCATCTGCACTCGTTGCATGGAACCAACGGTTTGCCTACAAACAAACTAGATATGTGAAACGGATGTGCGCGCAAAACTCAAGTTCTGGAGCAAGACCAAAGCCCAGAAGTGGACGAACAACCAGAACCTTCCGTCAGAGTTTACAGCCTATGAACACTATGGAGAAGAAGGAGATATGGAATACAACCTGTTTATATCTAAAATGCAAGAGAAGTCGAGGGGAGAAGAAAATGACAACCTGTGAACATTCAGTAAAGTTATCCTGCAAAGGTTATCAGTAGCCGTTGACACGAATGGAAACATGAACCAAAGATTTGGTTAAATCAGGTGAGACAGACAGAAGTAAGAAGTTCCTTGATCCCCGGGTTAACAAAGGCTATCTGTCCCCATTGTTTACTGTCACTTCTGAGCTGGGAGATTGTGCAAATCTTGTTGCCTCGAACCGACAGCCACGAGGAAGTTTTGATGTTTTATCACCAAAGTTTTGCAGGTCAGATCTTGCCGAGTAAGTGCGGCTGTCACATTTTTGACACTTCTGGTTATGTAGATGGTTTCAGTCCACTGATATCTTATCTTGAGAGCATTCCGAAATCTTCTTCTAGCTTTTCTGATAGTACTTAT